TCTTTGTGAGTTTAGGCTCCGTTTTTGATTCACTTAATAACGTAAATTGATTTGGGTAAACCTACAAATTTAATTACACTAGACGCATATTGAGAATAGAATAGGGTTCACATTATTCACCATTCTAATGGTATTCATGTAATTTGTAAGATATTTACTATATCTAATGCCCGGTTTCAGTAGCATCTCTCTATTTTTATTTGTCAGGTTGCTTAGTAAGATTAGTTTTAAGCATTGCCATAGCAACACTCCATTATTTTTAAGTGGATGGATCATGGAATTGGGAGTTGAGGTCTAGTGTATATCCCCTGGTAATTTCGTATGCAGGATTGAGATTCATATTCTACCTATTTTTGTTTAGGTCTGTGGTTACAGTATGATTTGGCTTGGTTGTTGTCTTAATATACTAATACATAAATACAGAGTACTCTATCGTTTTGGAGAGTTGATGGATGATAGAAATAGGAGTTGGAGTTCTGTCTATATCTGTAGGGAAGACTAAACATGATGTATTTTGTTATCAGGTGTCTAGATTTATAACCAGATCATTGTAAAGCTAATGTTCAATATACAAGTTGTGTTCAGGTTTGTTTCCAATTTAAATAGAATGCTATGTTGAAAGTATGTTTATAATTCTGTTTGTCATTATGCCGATTGAAATTAACAGAAAGTATAAATACAGCTTTTGTTCTCCTGCCGTGAAGCAGCTAGTTTGGTTGCTTTAATGCAGTTTTATATTTATAATTGTTTGTATACCCAAGTTTCTATGGCAACGACCCCTGGCCGCATTATCGAGCGTGACACCACATGGCTGCAGACTTACGTCAGACAGCCCGCGGCAGTCTTGGTCCGGGCGTCCTGTGAGTCGGATGTTACACAGGTGGGGGTGAGTAAGTCTTAAGTTTTATGCTTTATATGTTGGGATATTTTTTGTGCACAGTGTGTCCTGAGGAAAGCTTGAGGGGATCAAGCTGAAACGTTGACCGTTTTTATTTAGAAGGTAATAAAAGTTACATTTTATATTAAGTCCTTGGAGTGCTATCCTTCAATATTTATATATATATATATATATATATATATATTGGTAACAAAATACACTTAGAATGACATCTACCTATATATAAAATACAAAAAGAGAGAGAAATAAGAGGGATGGATTGAGGGAGTTTGCTCACTATTGGTGAGTACATTATTAGATTTACTATATATTGATTGTATATATTTGGGTACATTGATCTTGATGAAGACCCTGTAGGGTTGAAACATCGGTCAGATGATGTAACTTTTTAATTTATTTAATAAATACCAACGGATTTATTGTAAAAGACCTGAGAGTGCATCTCTTATTTCTCCATATATTCTATAACGTGGGATTGCACCAAGGCATCAAGATATTTATTTAATGAGAGAAAGGGTGAGTGCCAAGCTATCTACTTTTGTATATATATATATATATATATATATATATATATATATATATAAATGATTCAATAAGTATACACGTTGAATTTAAATAAATATATATATGTATATATATTAAAATTCTGTGTCTGGTGTTTGCAGGGTCGGATGGTAGCTAATCGCCAAGATAACACTTAGATTGCTTATTTAATTTTCGGAGCTGGGGGAAATGGAGTCCAGTCCGGTTCAGTGCCAGGCTCTATTTAAGTAATCTTTTAACATAATTATGTGATTTTATTAATTAAAATTTGATTGATGTGCCTGACAACCCAGGCAGAAAGTGCAGAGAATTTAATTTGCAAGCACTATATTTCACCTTTTCCAAGACACCATAAAACCTGTACATGGAGCATACCGTTTTACTCGAGAGACTTCAATGAACACAAATATTAGTGTTTCAAATGGTAAATTGTATTACAATGATGATATTTTAATAGTAAAAGTAAAGTTTTTTGCATTTTTCACACACGAACCGAACTTTTACTGAGGATATTGTTGTAATCCGTTTTACTGTTTTGAAACACTAATGTTTGTTGTTAGTGAAGTCTCCCAAGTATAACAGTACCCCCCATGTACAGGTTTCTTAGTTTTTTTTTAAGTTAGAGAGTCATATATAAGGCTTGTATTTCATTTTTTTCACATTACAATTTGCCAGTTTGGTAATGTTGCCTTTGAGACCGCATGGTAGCTCAGGAATGAGAATTATCCCCATGATGGCATACTATTTGCAAAGGTAGACAACCCAAGGTAATACAACTGGGGTATGTCCAGTCTTTTTTAGTAGCCACTTAGTCCCCGCTGGAGACACAGATTTACCCACCACAGGGGGAACTGCAGTCCGGCGGCAAATCGCATGTGGCATCTAAGATGGCCGCCAAGCCATGTCCTGAACACGCTGCAGATGACCCAGGGCTCCAGCAATGGAGGCAGTGCTTTGAAGCCCGGTTTGACCAACTCTGCAGGGCCTTCTGGACGCGACTACAGCGCAAACCTTTCTCTCAAACCCCACATGAAAAGCAGGGGCACGCACCAGAGGCTGCACGTCAGATCCACTCCGAGCACGGGATCCATACAGAGGTACACCCGCTTCGCCGCGCAAACACCCAGAGGGCTCCCCGCAAGCCCCAGGGCTCCAAAACCCAGGTATACGTGGTGCAAGGCACGGCCACATGGCCACCCACAAAGCGATGTTACTCAAAGCTGAAGACAACAGAGAAGCGGTGGAGGGCAGCTGGACACGGCCAATACAAGAGCTCCCATTACAGACCTGCCTATGGCCCTCTGGAACAAGCAAAGGTCGCAAGGAGCGACCCAAACGACCACTCTAACAAATGGGACACTCACCAAGCACCAAAACCCCCCAGAGAAGATAGTAGAGCTAATGGAATCCTAATTACAACTAAACAAATATATCTCTATATATGTCTATCCAAAAAAAAAAAAAAAGAGATATTTGTTTAGTTGTAATTAGGATTCCATTAGCTCTACTGCCCCCCCCCTTGTTTTTACACACAGCCATTTGGCTGGTGTATTTGGTGTTTTTCTCCTATATACTTTGTATATTATTACTTTTTAACTATAGTCATTAAAAGTTAGATTTTATTATTTTAATTTACTTTGGGTTGCTTTTGATACATTTGAGACCCACGGGACTGGGATATTATTCCCGGTGGGCTCCCTTGTATCTCCTTCTCTCTTTTTGTATCTATTTTGTATTAGGGGTTACCCCCCACTTCTATTAGCAACCCAACACTCTCTCCCTATCTCTCCTTCTTTTTCTAATACATATTATATATATATATATATAACGTCATACATAGTGTATTTTAAGTGTATTTTAATACTAATATTAGTACATATATTAATATTAAAATACACTTTGTATGACGTTACATATATATAATATGTATATATATTACATATATAATAGATATATACACATATATTATATATATTTACGTATAATTACAATAATAAATAAATTAAATAATAAAATAAATTAAATATTGAAACAAAATTTAATATAAATCATATATACATATATCATTTCATTCTAACTGTATTTTGTTATTGATATATATATATATATTGGTAACAAAATACACTTAGAATGACATTCTATATATATCTATATATATATAAAATACAAATAACCGCAAATATATATAAATAGATAAATACATATAATTACATAAAAGATTACATTAGTATACACGTAGAATTTAAATACCTATAAATGCATATATATTAAAATTCTATGTGTATATTTAAGTAATCTTTTAACATAATTATGTGATATGATTAAAATTTGATTGACATGCCTGACAACACAGGGAGAAAGTGCAGAGAATTTAATTCGCAAGCACTATATTTGACCCTGTAACTCTCCAAGACACCATAAAACCTGTACATAGGGGGCACTCTTTTACTCAGGAGACTTTGCTGAACTCAAATATTAATGTTTAAAACTGGTAAATTGTATTACAACGATATTTTAAGTAAACGTGACGTTTTTTGCATTTTTTACAAAGGAACGGCACTTTTATGGACTATATTATTGTTGTAATATGTTTTACTGTTTTAAAACACTAATATTTGTGTTTAGTGAAGTCTCCTGAGAATAACAGTATACCGCCCCCCTACCCCCACCCCCCCATGTACAGGTTTCATGGTGTTTTGGAAAGTTAGAGAGTCACATATAAGGCTTGCATTTCGTTTTTTTGACATTGAAATTTGCCAGATTGGTTATGTTGCCTTTGAGAGCGTATGGTAGCCCAGGAATGAGAATTACCCCCATGATGGCATGCCATTTGCAAAAGTAGACAACCCAAGGTATTGCAAGTGGGGTATGTCTAGTCTTTCTTATTAGCCACTTAGTCACAAACACTGGCCAAATATTAGTTTTTTGCATTTTTCACACAAAAACAAATATGAACGCTAACTCTGGCCAGTGTTTGTGACTAAGTGGCTACTAAAAAAGACTAAACATACCCCACTTTCAATACCTTGGGTTGTCTACTTTTTCAAATGGTATGCCATTATGGCGGTAATTCTCATTCCTGGGCTACCACACCATCTCAAAGGTAACATTACTAATCAGGCAAATTTCAATTTGAAAATGGAACGTTCTATATTTGACACTGTAACTTTCCAAAACACCATAAAACCTGTTAATGGGGGGTACTGTTGTACTCGTGAGACATCGCTGATTACAAATATGTGCATTTTTTTGCAGTAAAACCTAACAATATTATGACATTAACAGCTAAAATGTCAGACGGAAATACAAATTTAAAAAAAAATCTTATTTTTTAAATTTTATTTAAATTTTATTCATAATAAATTATGTTCTATATATGAATAGTTAATGATAAATTAAAGCCCTGTTTCTCCTGAACAAAATTATATATAATAAGTGTGGGGGCACTTAATGTGACACTTGTGAATTACGGGTGAACAGACATAAAGCGCAAATTCCAGTTTTTGTTTACGTTTTGTTTTGATCAGAACGTGCACTATTGACTCCGTCCTTTAATGATGTCTGCAATGCATGATTAATCACTAACTGATCCAAGCAATAACCATGCAGATTACAATGTCAAGCTATATTATATGTTTATCTTGTTCACTTAACCCAAAAAATGTGCAATGCTTTCAATGCCATAGTGTTGTTTCTTTCTGTGTATCATCTGGTTTGCTTCAGCTATTGTGGCAGAGCAAACTTGCCTGTTAATTATTTGCACGAATAAAATAAAGAATAACAAAAAAAAAAAAAGGGTGAGGCTCAACTAAATAGGTTGAAGTTAATCACAAACTAAGGCCAGCTGGGAATAGAGAGAGATCTCAGGGTGCAGCAGCCTGGAAAAGCACCACAGACATGTAGTGGCACTGTGTGGTACTGCACCAGACTGAGAATAAACTAAATTGTGACAGACTCATTGAAACTTCCTGTAATGTTTGGTAGGAGGAAGATCAGGCATTTTCAGTAAACTTAAGGCATTAAATGAGTGACTAGTGGTGTCTGGCAGAGAAATTAGTTCCTCTACAATGTGGGTAAATGAGGTTTTATGGACCAAATTTCATTCTGCAAAATACTTAAAAGTAAAACCTTTATACTTTGTTCCTGGCACTATTGGCTCATTAGGTCTCCCCCCCCCCCACCCTCAGGTTCCCTCCACCCCCCCCACCTTCAAGACCCCTTCAGCCACTTACCTTTCTCCAGCACTGGGCTCCCTCGGCACTGGTGACTTCTCCTCCCCCTGTCAACTTCAGCTCTTAATGCGCATTCGAATGACTTTCCTATGGATGTCCAGTGTCTTCTCATTGTGATTTTCACAGTGAGAATCGCGGAAGCGTCTCTAGCGGCTGTCAGTGAGACAGCCACTAGAGGCTGGATTAACGCTCAGTGCAACATAGCTGTTTCTCTGAAACTGCTATGTTTTTAGCTGCAGGGTTAAAACTAGAGGGACCTGGCACCCAGACCACTTCATTGAGCTGAAGTGGTCTGGGTGCCTATAGTGGTCCTTTAATGCTGCAAGTTTGAGGTTAATGCTGTGGGTACAGGGTTAATATAATTGTAGGTTTTGTATTAATTCAAAACTTCGGTAAAAAATATGTGATTTACAGAACATGTTAGGGTCTAGGATTAGACATAGGGCATGGTAAATAATATAATTTTGAGAGGGGTTTAAGTCAATATTTGGATAAGGTATCATAACATCTATTCTCCAGTTTAAGATCTTGGTCTTCATGTAACCTAGCAATGCCCCTGCAAATTGCAAACTCTGATGATTCTATTCAATAATCAATAAATGGACATTTTGATATATATCTGTAAAAGGGACATGCCAAACAAACATAGCTACAGCCTGCAAATTTATATTGTATGAAATGAGTAGAGTATTGAGACCACTATTTCTTTCTACTGATTGCAAGCCATCTGAACTTGAGGTTGTGGTAGTGAGGGCTGAAGATCTAGAATTCAGGATATTCACAGGGACCAAGACTCCCCTGCCTAATGCTAGCTTAGTACATATGGCCTCAAGAGCACAAAAGGAAAATAAGACTACTATACTATACTGATTGTCCCTTTATTCAAATAATTGAAGCATCTATAAATAAACCATACACTGGTACATTCATAAATTAAAACATACACTGGTACATTTATGATTTAAAAAATTGGGGTGGAAAGTGTTCCCAGATGATAACCAACTCTCAAGGATTGGCATGACATAGTGATGCACGAAATTTCCCTTGTTTGTAAGGTAGCTGGAGGTGCAGGTAAATTAGAAATTTTAATACTGTGTGTGTGAACATTTGGAATTATTAAAGTAGTGAGAACCCAAGCTTCTGATAGTCGGCTTAGTCCGTGTTGGGTTGTTGCAGTCTACCCACTTTGGCGCCTCTTCGATTTGTGGTCTCTGTAGTGCCGGAGGGCAGTGGTGTGGGTGCTCGTTTGGTCCAAAACTACACAAAGATATGTGAATGTCCCGATCAGATAGCCTTTTGAGTATCTCTGGTGTGTTTTAAACAATGTAGATGGAAATTATCTCCATACTAATATTGTTCAATAAAAATATTATAAAGTAAAAACTCAAGAATAAAAGTAAAAACACTATTCGTATAAAGCATACTGCTCAATCCTGCATATCTTTTACAGAGATTGCTTGTATACAAAATAAATATGTAAATAACAGGTTTCTATATATATATGAATGGTATGTGTCCATTCTGTGTTGGACTAATTTTAATTTGAGTATACCCTATATATATTCAAGAGTGTTATAATCACGTCACATTCATATGGCTACATCGTGTTTTCAGAGGGGAATGATAGTGCTTAACCGGAACTCTTTATATATGCAGGAGAAGTGTCAGTATAATCATATCCCCAGGATGTGTATTTAAATAGCAGTAGAGAGTGCAATAAAATGTATGATGTATCTTTCCTCTGACCCCTTTGGACCGGGGGATGCTATCCCAATCACCAATGGAAGGCTTTGCAGAAGGCACCGATGAGGCATCCTGCTGAAGCTTTGCTGCTGAGATTTTAAGATGGCCACTACAGCAGCCCCTATGGGATTGGATCCCCCACCAAGCTTGTGGAAGGGCTCCTTTATGCAGTCCCACAGCGACTCCTAAGCTCTGTTAGGGCCCTCACAGACACTACCCAGACACTACCCAGCATCAGCTTAGGAGTGGAAGCTGCCGGCAATGATTCACTGCACATCCGACGTCCACGACTGGTTCCTGCCTTCCCTTACCCAAGCCTCGAGCCAAGTGGAGAGAAGATCTCTTCATCGCAGCCCTACACCCTGGAGAATGGTCCGCCTGCACGTGGAACGCCACAGGGGCCCCCAGTGAACATCGATCACGGCTCACTGGAGCAATGGATCTGAGGGCGCCAGATGTCTGTGTGTATGGCCCATAGCATTGTTATTGTTTTAAGGAGTATGTCCTACAGCTTGGGCAGTAAGCCTCTACTAAGCTTCTATTAACCCCTTAAGGACACAGCTTCAGAACCTTGTCTTACCTTTAAGGACACAAGCAATTTTTGCATTTATTGCTGTTTGTGTTCAACCGCAATTTGCATCTCTCTCATTTATTGCACCAGCACATATTATATAATGCTTTTAAGAGGATAAAAAAGTCTTTAATTCAATGTCACATATACAGATATAAATTCTCATTAATTATAAAAAAAGAAAGCCACAAAATGGGGAAAAAAAATAAAAATTTTCACAGTTTATGCAGTGTGTGCACAATATGCCCACCTTAGGAAAAGTAATTCAAAATAAATTAATTTACGTGTCTTGATTTATGGAGTACATTATATGTAGAGGATTTCCTCTTATTTTGAAAGTTGCAGGTCACAAAATACAAGGACTAAAATAAAATTTAAAAGTGAAACAATTTTAGAGGTTGGTATGTTTGTCTTGTAAGTTTAGTAGCCATCACAAAAAAACAAAATTGCCACACAAAAGGAGTAGACATCACAGGCTATTTACCTAAGGTTATTTTGACACTTTTTACATACCATTTCATTGCCAATCTAAATATTGGAGTAAAATTCCAGGATTTTACTATTATCATGATGGAAAGTCATAATTATATTAACCTCTTAAGGACACATGACATGTGTGACATGTCATGATTCCCTTTTATTCCAGAAGTACACGGAGGTGAGTATTATGCTGCACCCTTCTTTAATTCCCTCAGCAGCAAAGAAAAAACTAATTGAAAACAGGTATAAACATCATAATGACAATATCCGCCTAGTAACAGGAACATCCAATCAGGGACATCCTTATCCTATAGTAGGCGGAACATCGATGACCACTCCCTCTTTCTTGTGAATCCCAAAGAAGAACTCAAAACTAGGAGCAGGAAAACCAAACAAGCCAGAACCAAACGCACCGGAATAGGGCATGTGATCCAGAGAGGCATTGCAAACAAATTCACGCTAAAAGAAACAAGAAAATATTCTTGAAATCATGGAATGGCAGCATATTTAGAAGCATACGTGAAGCGATTACTAGAAAGAGAGTGCAGAATATAGCAATAATATATAAATTAAGATGTGCAGTATGGTTAAATCATATCAGACCTACATCTGCATAACTAACTATATAAATAGAATTAAATAAAAAACCAAAATACTATAGGCATAATATAAGTACCAGCTGCTAAAACACATAAAGAACTTTTCTGAAATTCTGAAATAACAATACAATCCACTTAAGGACCACTCAAACAGCATAGTAAGCAATTGGGTCAGCCAGATATACAGATGGGTTACCAGATCCTCCAGAGGAGACAGCGTCTGCCTCATGCACTGAAGGAGACCATCCACGATCTAAATTCGGAGGAACGCTGTAGCGGAGAGCTGCTACTCCACAGGTTATCTCCACTAAAGGCTCAGGAACAAGTATTAAAAGTCCATAAGGCAATAATTCCAGCAGGCAAAACAATCCAATAATATCCCCACATCAATCCCAATGACTGGACAACACACAGCATCAGGAGCAGAACTGAACTTTTAATCACACAACTTTCTTTTAAAGCATTCTCTCATGCAAGGGAGGGATTTCCATTAATTTGTACAGTAACCAATAGTATAATAGTTACCTCCCATATATCTCCTCCCCTCAGTGTGACACATAATCCACTTATACATGCTACAGTTTTACCTGGTTTCTATATGTACCCCAAAACAGTCAGGTACAATTATCTAAGTGGTACCCACTGGTAGCCTTGATCTGGGTGACCTACATATTCAAAATTCACCCAGATCGGACCAGGGGTTCGGGAGTTAGGTGGAAGAGACAATTTGACCGACCGCACATGAGGTGGTATCCGAAAAGGGCTCCATGTGTTTTGGCCCTGCGGTCGGTCTCCATTCGGGAGATAAAATACATAGAAATACTTGTCATCCACTGTTAAATCAGTATTCGTATGAATACCCTTGTTCGGTACTTTTAATTCACCTAACGAGGGGCTGATTGGCCCCTCCGTTTGGGAGTTACGGAACTCTAGAGGTCTCAGCGGTGTTCGGGTGATTGAGTGTCCGATTTGAGTTCCAGACACTCGACGACCAAACACTGCTGAGTTTTTCGTGCGTAAGATGGCCGCCGCCACGTGTTCGTATGACGAACGGCGGCCACCCAGATACGTATACAAAATACCGATTGCATCAATTAACGTGCGGTTAGAGAAGTGTGAAAACCTAATAAGGTGCAC